CTACGAACACCTGATCCTCCAGAAGATTGTTATGAATGGAGTTCGCAGACTCTCATTTCATGTTTGATTGACCAAGCTCGACTGTTACCGGAACTAAGCTTCATTAGATCAATAAGGAAAGGAATCCAATAAAACTCTGCTATGATGCCAGAGATGAGGAAATGAGAGAGTGTCAGGAAAAAGCACAGAATTGTTCGATATTCATCAACGGCAAAATTCATCGACCATGTAGACTTTCTCCGCTGCTTTCCGTTTTTCTTACTTTTCTCAGTAAGTTGCGCTGTAGTTGTCGCCATGCATTCAAAACCACCTAAAAACATACCCTTTTCGCTGATAAGTTAAGTAGGCCCAAACGCGTAAGGGAGTAGAGAGACTCCACGGTGCGTGAGCAACTCCCATTTTTCCCGAAATTCCTGCCCACTATTGAGCTTAGTCCCAGAGGATGTCCCCGTATTTGTGATAGCGCCCTTTCCCTTTCACTTTTCCAAATTTTCAAAAATATGACCGTACTCACCCGCAAGACGTGGTAGCCTTCAGTACCGCCGCCTGGAATCGGCACACTTTCGCTGTTACCCATGGTGTTCCAGCAGTTCAATACCTGTAAACTTAGAAAATCACCACGAAAACCAGACGGTTGCGAAGTAAATACGTACAATTCGCAAAATCGAATAAAAATGAGCAAAAAGACAACCGAACCTATCCAAATATTGCAAAACTTATTCACGTTCTCGTAGAAGCGACGTGGAAGGAGGCGGCGACCATCGAGCAAGCTCCGCCTTGATACGCAGCCAAATCGATAGTGCAGTTATGGCAGATACTCAGGTAACTTGCGCGTTTGAACGTTTCCGAATTCGTGGTGGCCTAATATCTCCGCCGGTTTACGCATTGTTTTTGTCTTCCTCGCATTGAATTCTTTACACATCTTGCTCTCAATAAATCTATACAAAAGAGGTTTTTGCTGTGAAAGTTTGGGACCGAGTAATGATTTTCAATTCGGTCAGGTAAACGCTAACTCCCGTAGCTTGCAATAGCGCCCGTACCGCCGAGGAAATTTTGTTGAAAATACAAAACTATGTCGTTCTGGGAGCAATAAGCCTCGCGGTGAGGGGGCAAGTTGTAAGAAGGCTTCTAGAACTAGGTCTAACGTCGAGGGGTCGGAGAATGAAATAGCCTGTACACCTCGAATTCGCCCTCCTTCTAAGCTTAGCCCTATGAAACTGAGCGTTTCCGTGAATGTGATACTGTGTACAGGCTGCTCCCCTCCCCGTGGGGTTTCGGGTTACTTGAATTCTCTTCTATGATCTGCCACGAATGGGGGGGGGGGGGGGGAGGGAAGTGCATAGACCAATTACCAACTTTTCTCCGGAAACGTCTGCGCAGTCCCAATCCCGTTCTTTTTGGAAGGTAACTTTATTGCAGCGCGTGAGCACTTAGGTGTAGGCTCTGTATTCTCTGTATTTTTAAGGTGTAACATTGATTTTTTTCCCTTGTGTCTGGAGCGTTATGTCCTGTACGTTTGTATTGAGTGGATCATTCAATTTTGGTCATTTTTCACGCTCAGGGAACTGTTCACGGTGAACGAATGGTGAAATTTAACCAACCAAAGTGTGACCAGTATTTTCTTCAAGCCATCCTTTTCTTTTTGATGAATTGGCGGTCCCAACACGACGTTACGATTTTATTTCCAATGTGAGCAGTTTGTTTGTGTTCTCAAGTGAGCCAATTTTCTAACAAATCCTCATAATTCGGCTATCAGAAGGCGCAGACTGGGGGAAAGTGGATTAAGGCTATTATAGGGAGGGTTACTTCGAGGGTGAGCCGTGCACGGAACCCAGCGGAGTTTGCCAAGAAACCTCATAACTAGTTCCCGAGACAACCCGGAGACTGGGAAGGGTGGGTAGCGGCCTCCTATCTATCCTAGGCGAAGTAGATGATCTCAAGCTTAAAGAGCGCATCCAAGAACATACAAGTGCAAGTTTTTCTTCGACCGACGGATAGCAGGCTTCTTTGTTGTTTCCACAAGGGGATTATAATTTTCACTTCTGGAGAGGTTACGAAGTTTCTCTCCCTCCGCAGGCGACGTGTTTCAATTACAAATCCACACTTATCGGTAGTCCAGAGCGCTATTTTATGTTGTTACACGTACCATTCCTCTACCAATTTCTTTTTGAATTTAGTAGGTGATTAGTAGTCCCAATCGCCTTTCCCTATGTGCAGAGTGTGGATCATCAGATCACCGAGTTTTGCTCTACTTTCCACTTTTTTCATTAAATGACTCGGTAGCAAGGTGAATATCCAACATTTATGTAAATTCGTGCCAGCGTCTGATTAGCTTTGTTACTGGGACGAAAATCAAAGCTGCCTGAAGAATGTCGCTCACGTCCTCTAATACAAATCCGCACCCAGTTTGCTGAAAAGTGTTACGGTAACACAAACTCATCTGACTGCTGAAACCGTCTTGTCGGCTGGCTAGTCGGTCCTAGAACCTATCGAAAAAATAATTTGTTCTATAACGATACCCTTGATCGGTCTTTTGGTGGATGTCGGGGATGGGGGTGTGTCCCGAGATTGAGAGAACGTTCCCGAGGCTTGCTGAATGTCGGGGATGGGGATGTGCCCCGAGATTGGAAGCCGTCCCCGAGTGGGGACATGTCGCCGAGGTTGGGGATATATCCCCGAGGTTAAGAACCCATCCCTTCACCGGCGTCGGGATATGTCCCAAGGTGGAGAATATGTCCCAGAGGTAGGGGATGTGTCCTTGACGGAACGTTAGGTGAGGGGACCCATCCCAGGCCGGAGCTTGCTGGACCCGACTTCAGGGTGGGGGTGAGTGAGCCACATGTGATGTGGTAAAGCTTGAGCGTGGGAAATCACAATGGTCTTGAGCCCATTTAGGCAAGAGAGTAAGCCTTTTTGAAGGACTGAGTAGTCCGTGGACCGGTTCATGCCCTCATGGGGGTGCAGTATGCACCAGGGACAGCGGGCTCCAAACCGAAAACATTCATTTGCCCTGGACAGTATCATGTGATGCAACGTTAGTGTCCAGAATCAAACTGGCAATGTACGTATTCATTGGCAGCTTGTAAACGCTTTTGACTTAACACAGGACGTGGAAGTTTGCTGTCGTTTTTTTCTGAGAGTAACTCTTGCCTCTTTTCAAATCTTTCGTATATTAGGCGAGTAGAACAGATGAAGACTAATCCATCCAATGTTGATCAATCCCTTTCTGAGATGTGCGGTGTTTTCGTTTTGCTTCGGCTTGGTGATGAAGGCTTTTTTAGAGTGGGCTCAGTGACCAGAGGGGCCAACCGATAAGTAGGTTTCAAAAGTGTCTGGTATCAACTGAGTGATCGGGGGATGGAAATCTTGATTGGCATCGCTGAAGTCTATACAAGAATTGACCCCAGACTTTGTGTTGATCAGGAAAGTGGTTAAGATGTTGTCAGTTGAAAAGTTCGACTCAACACGACCATACATGGAGTAGATGTAGTGTCTTGAAATGTTTGATTGTGAATTGGTAAGAAAGTGACTTAGCATGTTGCCATTTTCTTTTATGTATTTCAAGGTAACCACAGATTAAAAAATTTCAAGCGTGTAGTTTGGAAAGCTGCAGATTCAGCTTTAGACCGCCGTCACCGGCGACGGAAGCGATCGCGTCGCTCCATCGCTTGTCCGTCGCCGAGTGTGACGGCGGTCTTAATATTTTTTTGTATGGTCGTCTCCCATTGGGTCGTGTGATCTTTGGATGCGTACTTTATTTGTGCATTTGTTTGCAGATACTAATCAAGGTACACTTCAGTGTTTTTGTTCTTCAATACGAGTCTCGAAAGTTGATATACCCGTAGGAAAGGCTTTTACCTTTTAGGTAGCGGTGGCTTGCTAATCACAAGCCTAGATGAGAATGATTTCTTGATCCGTAGACCGTGTTGGTGGTAGCATCACTCCATCGACTGTATACGGCATATTTTATTGTTTGCAGTGTTTTTTTCTAGATAAATCGGCTTCTATTCTCACTTTCTCATCGCACATCTCACCGGCTATCATGAGATTTAGAAAATAAAGCAGTATAGTAAGGTGTTTTCAACACCTAACCCTTCCATTAATGTTGAGTTCACGTGGCCTTTTTCGTTGGTAATTTACATTACCGCTTTGGTTTTTGTTGTTATGTGAATCCGAAAAGGATACTCGCAATCCATTCGTGGTAACGTTATCGTGAAGTCGCACTTCGTGGCAGCCATGTTTATTCGATTTTTCCAGTCACTCTGCTTATAGGGTTATAATGGCCAAGCGCACAAAGAAGGTCGGTATCGTCGGAAAGTACGGCACTCGATATGGAGCGTCTCTGCGTAAAATGGTCAAGAAGATGGAGGTGACCCAGCATTCCCGGTACACCTGCGTGTTCTGCGGAAAAGAGGCCATGAAGCGTAAAGCCGTTGGCATCTGGAGCTGCTCAAAGTGTCACAAGACTGTTGCTGGTGGAGCGTAAGTTTTTGATTCAAGAATAATTTCATTTAAAGTTTTTTCCTCTGTGCTGTGAACTGTTTGTACGAACTATTTCTAGATATGTTTATGGAACTGTCACTGCCGCGACTGTACGATCAACCATCCGTCGTCTACGCGATCTCAAAGAATAAATCTGCCTTTGTACCTTGATGATCGCAATTGTTATTGTTTTTATAAAATAAACATACCCAGCAAATTACTCGATTGGGATATTGATGTCACATCATTTGATACTATGAAATCATCCATGTTGGCTTTCGGGAGCGCTTTCTGACACCTGCGGTGTTAAGACAGGAACCTTAAAAGAAGCATTTGTCGTGGCTGCAGTGGTCTAATAAATCATCGAGCGTGACATACGGTGCAAAGGAAGTCGATATGCATTTGATAGGACGGGAAACTATTTTGTAGACATTGGGCGAGTTTGCAGAGGCCCGTCGGCACTTGCGCACAAATATATTTTGCACAACTCTTTCCGTATTGAGCAGGCGGTTGAGAGCATGTTAGCAGAGACGGTGAAATGAGGTTTATGAAGAAGCTACGATTTCATAATAATACCCTAGTTTACTAATATGATTGGTTATCCCTTCCGTTCTACCTCTATGCGGGCGAGGGGTTTATTGGATATCCATACGACGCATGACGTTTCGGCGGATGTCGCGCTTCTTTCAAGCATGACAGCTATCGAAGCGGTATCACACTGATCACTGACATAACATTTTTCTGGGCAACCATCATGAGATTTTTCTATGTTTATCGCATTATGTCACAAGGCTAGGAGCCGGATGACCACGGCGCGGTCGGGGAGGCGGTGTTCAGAATGAGGGAAGCCACTGCTTATCCCTTTATGTAGCTGTCTTCAACTGTTAAACCCCTTCTGTTACTTTCAAAACCAGTCTCCAGCAGGAGAGACAACCATTCAAGAATTCAATCTGTCAACAAAAATGGCTAGTGAACGTCTAGCACTTGAGTAACATGAAAGAGTTGTGGTGGCTGTTTGAAGTGGCAGTCATCTAGCACACAGGTGGACGCACTCCATTAAGAGTGGGGCGTTCTTCTCCTTTTCACGAGTGCTAGTCCCGGGCAATCGAGGGATCCGCTGTCTTTTTCAGTCGTTCGTTTTCAGTCGTCACTTCATTCTGTCCAGGACAACTTCTGCCGTGACCATTATTTCACTCGTCCAAGGGCAGTGGTTAAACCGGAAGGCTTGGTGTTTCAGGGTTTTGTAGTGTTTTCTGGGCACTCTTGCAGATGCACACTATTACAGCATATCCGCTTTCTTTCCTACTTCAGGCTTAGTCGGGTTCTGAAGGAAGCAACAAAGTATATGGGTTTTTCTGTTCTCGACCCTCACGCTTTGCTTGATCACTGCCTCGTAACCTATTTTGCTTAAAGGTAGTGCGAGGGGGTGTTGCGTGCGAATTTCGAAAGTGTGACTAAATGACGAGAAAGAGGGAGAGGGCAGTTACGTTTCCAAGTTTTTTCTTCGTGAGAACAGCAGTGGACGGATATTTTGTCCGGAAGGCCTTTCTGTACTCCGTTTTCGCAATTTCAAGTTCTGGACGGTGGAGGCTTAATCGGGTGAGAGGCGTGGATCATGACTGTTCGAGCGCTCCAATGTTTTTTACACCAATTAACACTCCTAGCACATATGTTTGAGACTAGCCTTGGAAGGGAGGAAAACCTGGTTTCGTGAGCAGTCCTCGATTTCTCCGAAGGGACTTCCTTCTAGACTTAGTCCTATCTGCTCACTAGGTGAGTATTACCTTCAATAGACGTTAGTCATCCTGCACGATAATTCCTACACAATACAAACAAACTGAAGAAATAACGTAGAATATAGCTGGTAGCAGTTCGTAACTTTAAACACTCCTTGAGCCAAAGTGGCAGGCTGTGCGCAGCAACGCCCCGCTTACCAAACAGACCCACTCATTTCTTGGAAACCGCAGTTCATGTATTCTGTGTGACTTAAGTCCTTTACTAATCGTAGCATAAGATGGAAGCGGAGGTGTCAATATATGTTTTACAAGCCTTTTCTTTCCCATCTTTTCTGGATGCGAGGTTGCTTGGCTTTACAGGAGGAAGAGTTCTTTCGAAAATATTTAAATGTTGCTAGCTAATTTTTTTTCAGATGGATCTGCTGAAAGGGTATGTGCAAAGTGATGAAGAATTGTCGGATGATGACCCAGCGCAGCCAATCTCGCTGAATAATTGTAAATCTCTTGCTATTCCTGGTGAATTAACTGTGAGTGCAGTTTCGCTTTGGACATTTTTTATTCCTTGTATCTTGTCTAATCGTAGCGTTCTACCCGTAAATAATCATGGTTTCTAACAGGTTGCTCCTGAAGTTGCAACCAAAAGTATACTGAAACAAATAGCAATAGTGGATCCAAGGACAAAAGAACTCAAAACAAATCCGAGATATGAACAGCTGTTTCAGCCTGAGGTGCGTTGCTCACTATTTTTTTTTGGATTTTAAAAACGTTTCCGCCTTGTTTTCTTATAACAATGTACCTTTGCAGGCTGGTCCTAGTAACCCATTCAAGAGCGAAAACCAAAAAGCTCAGAAGAATGTTCTCACTGGGTAAGAGCCTCTTCTTTGCAACTGCTGCGTTTTTTTTTTTGTGTCGTATAACCAAATGGTCCAGAAATGTTATTTTCTTGCTATAAAACTTTTGTACACTTATATTATAGTATTTGTGTTTTGTTAATATTTTCTTTGTATATAATAATATTTAACCTACAATTTTTGGTACGCGATTTGCACCTCCTGAGTGGTCAGCGCGCTGTATAATTTTGTTCCCTCCTTTTTTAAATCTACCATCAAAGTTCTGGAGGAACATACATTGTAGGGAAATTTAGATCTGGACCTATAGCATACTTCTTAAAATAATTTTCATTTTCAAGTTGTGCCCATCATTAACTGTTGGAAATTGCGATAAAACAGATGTTCATGAAGGAGGGTGGTGCAGAGTGTGTTCAGAAGTGTCAGGTGCTTCAAGTTCCTTGCGGATGCGTGTCCGTGGAACGTATTGAAAGAGATGCAATGGACAGTTATTACTGAAAAAAAAACCCTGTACTGAAATCTTTCTCGATGCACGTTCACCGATCCATTAAAGCAGCAACTGCCTGTTCGCATTGACATAATGCAGGATTCAACTTGACCGAAAACGGACCCCTAGTGCGAAAATGGTAAACTCGCTTACTTCTGGGATCAATGGCCGAATGAAAGCCCGGTTCTTCGGTTTTTGATCGCTTCACTTGGTGTTTTCACAGATGCACTACTTCGTACCTCCGTTTTCTGTTCTTCTCTTTCTCGAAAATTCCATGAATTTTCATGCAATGTTCAGGCAACAGCGAGAATGGCTACTGACTCACAATTTTTGTTGGATTTTCTCATGACTATGGAGGAACGAAGTATTACAAGCTTGACTTTTTTCAAGGTTTCGTAGAGGCGGCTCATATCAACGACTTTCACTTCACTCGCGAGCTTCGCAGATTGTGTGACACCTCGGTTAACGCTCCGAAATCCCACTGCTGATAAAATCGCGTGTATTCTCTTAGCCATAGAGTCACGGAAAATACTTAGACCTTCGTTACAAACTCTTCACACAACCTTTAGGTCATGAATATATTGGCAATAAGGAGGCTGCTATCGAAAATCAAGGCGAATCTTTGTTCGAATCAAAGAAAACTGGCGGAGAAAAGCGGAAGCGACAAGCCAACTTTGATCCATCAGACATTGAAGGATACACAGGTTTTACTCTAGCCATTTTGGAGTGCGTATAATTTCACACTAAGTGAACAAAATCTTTTTAGGACCTTGGGCTAAGTACTGCGATGAGAAGACGATTGCTAAGCCAGATCCCGAACTGCAGAAGGAAATGGATGAAATCACTAGAAAGGTTAGTATTGCAATTTGTGGAAATTGTTGGTTGCTCAAAGCAGATTTCGTTTTAGCGACAGGCTAACAGCCGGCGTTTCAAACGAAAGCAACAGCAACAACAGGGTGATAACGCTGAGGAGTCTTCTGTATTGCACTGTACGTTATTCTGATCTTTTATGTTGGAGCAAAAAAGTGAAGGGTTTATTTTAGTGAAAGAAGCCCAGGATTATCAAGGGCGCTCATTCCTTGTGCCACCTGCGTTCACTGGTGTCAACTTGCGGGCAGATGCGGCTCCAGAAAAGTGAGTTGTTCATTCCTGTCTCTTCCCATGGTTCGGCATAATTTGAATTTTCAGGTGTTTCATTCCCAAGAAACAAATCCATGTCTACAAAGGGCATACTAAAGGCGTTAACTGCCTTCAATGGTTCCCAAAAAGTGCACATCTCTTTCTGTCATGCTCTATGGATACTAAGGTGATTTAATATTATCCCAATTTTTATGAACTCTGCTTTCTCATATTTTGCTTTTTTAGATCAAGCTTTGGGAAGTCTATGGGAAGCACCAGGTTGTTCGGACATATTCTGGCCACAAACTTCCTGTGCGAGAGGTCGCTTTCAATAATGAAGGGACGGAATTCTTGTCTGCGAGTTTCGATAGATACATCAAGTTGTGGGACACAGGAAACAGGCCAGGTGAGTTGGTGGTTCAGGGTATGCGGTATTAGAAGATGGGAATTTGCTCATGTTTCTTTCTCTAGAGGAATTTTCTTTATAGAAAGCTTTCGATATCCCTCATACATTCTCTCTTTAGGTTAAGCAACGCTTCCACACTGGTCATATTCCATTCTGTGTTAAATTCCATCCAGACGATGATAAAAATCATATGTTCCTCTCAGGGATGCAGAATAAGAAAATTGTTCAGTGGGATACACGTACGGGTGAGATTGTACAGGTATGTGCTGCTTCAACCTACGGTGTTTTCGATGTTTGGATTAATTTTTTACTCATTAATGATTGGAAATTATGGATATACAACTTGATTAGAATTGAAGCTAGAATACAGGCTATTCCTTCTCCTGTTCTTCTGCTCTTTTGACTTTATAATTGAGCTGTCAAAGAGGTTCATAGAAATCTCAACATTTTCGTCAATATTGTTTCGAGTGTATATTCTGCTAAAAAGACAATTCCACGAAATTGGTCACAAAGTGTTATCCTTGCTTCAATTGTTTCACCTACGTTTAATTTCTATGGTCGTGTTTTTAGGAGTATGATCGTCACTTGGGTGCAGTGAATTCCATTACTTTCTTCGACAAGAATCGGCGATTTGCATCGACTTCGGATGATAAATCGATAAGGATATGGGAATGGGAAATTCCTGTTGATACTAAGCTATAAGAAGTGGCCTACCTCTATATACAAATGACAGAGTCCTAATGTCCTAGTTACTGCCAGTTTTTTTTTGCATAAGTGCAGCTTCTTTCTAGTGATTCTAGTGTTTTAGAAAAATGGGTGGTCGGTCAATCAATGGATAACCGAATTGTGCTGTTCAATTAATTGACGACAAGTTGCGATTTGCAAAGAAAAAAGCGTTCAGAGGTCACAATTCTGCAGGTTATGCCTGTGTAACTGACTTCAGTCCTGATATGAGGTAAATAGTTTTTTATATTCATCGTTTATAAGTTTTATGATTTTGAATTACAATGGTGAATCTTACAGCTACTTAATAAGCGGAGATGCTGACGGTAAGCTTTTCATCTGGGACTGGAGGACGCATAAGATTGTGGCCAGATGGAAAGCTCACGATAACACTTGCATTTCGGCGCGATGGCATCCGAAGGAGAAGAGTAAAATTTTAACGGCGGGATGGGACAGTGTGATAAAAATGTGGGCATAGCAGCTCACTTTTTACCAGATCCAGATTATCAGATAACTTCACACTTCACGAATTCGCACAGGCTTGAAATTTTTCGTTTATTTCGGCTTCTTCTTTGAGGCATTAGTTTCGGTTATTTAAATCGCCCTTTGGGTAGGCTTCTTCCGCTCTGTGACTTTTGTCACATAGAAAGAAATCGTTTGACACGACAAGCATCTTTTCGTGAAGTGTGAAATAGTCTCGTGATGTATGCTCTCATTTTCTTACCTCTTGCTGTAACGCTCTGCTTGTTGCAAATGTATCGGTTGGAATTTAGCCGATTTCTACCGTGTTCTTTTCAGAATATATTGTTCGTAATATTCCTTCAATTATTCTATTTATTTTGCGTTGTAAACTTTTATGTGCATTCCTATTTCGTTATTACTTTTTGGCTTGTCGATTGGAACAAAGTTTGACTTAGTCTTTGCTTTGCGATTTTATGGTTTGTCCATCACATATTTGAATCCCTTACGCAGTGGCGTGCATGACAAATATGATAATTTATTGGAATCCTTAGATTCTGCCAGGCAATGTCGTCGAGTAGGACCATTCTTCACATGCGGCAGCTTAGTTCAGCGAGTGGGAGCGTGGCGCGATTTAGAGGTCGATTCCAAAACTGGAAAACGCCGTGAGTATTTTCTTTAGAATTCCAATTCCTCTTATTCTCCTCTCAAATGTGTTTGATTTGAGGGTATACACTGCACCACATATTCATCCACTTGAAATGGGACCTGATTTTTCTCATGCTGGTATGTTTTTTTTTCAGGTTTTGTCGTGTTTTGTCGAATTTTATGTTCTTTTAATATTAAATTAGCACCAAATATTTGCTACGCCTATTCAGATGGGCGACCCATTCATGTGACCTCGAGAATACAGTTGGAGTACAAGCAAGACCAGCTGCGATTAGCGGTAAGACAATAATTGGACTCATTGAAGAATTAGGGGATGGAATATGCTTATAATTTGTGAAGTTCGACGCTTTAGAAGAAAATTGTCGCGCTACTAAGTGAAGTGAATGAAATGGAGGCGGCTCACAAGCAAGCAGAAAGTCGGAGGATCCAGGAGGCCCAGGAAATCGATGCCCATCGACCGAAGTCTAAGGGCACAAGAAGTATAGCTTAGATCTGAAGAGTCATTGTACAGAAAATCCTAATTTAGTTATAAATTCAATATATGGACTTGATGAAGGATGTTTTCATTATTTGTCAGCGTTGTGTTCGAAATTTACTATAGTAAA